GCATTCCTCTAGTGGCAAAATTACTATCGTTATCGTTTATGTCGACGATGTTGTGCTCACATGCGATGATTTACTAGCATTGGAGTCTATGAAAGACATTCTTGCTATTTCATTTGAAATGACAATCAGATCATACTCTCTTCTTTCGGCATGCCTCCAGCGGCATAATTTTTATCTTTATCGTCTATCTTTATCGTCTATGTCCACGATGTTGTGCTCACATATGATGATTTACTAGTATTGGAGTCTCTGAAAAACATTCTTGTTATTTTATTTGAAATGAAGGACGTAGATCGCTTTGATACTTCTTAGGCATGGAAGTAGCTCGGTCATCTTGCGGTATTTGCCTCAGTGCAAATATATGCTTGATCTATTAACATAGAATAACATTCTCCTATGCAAATCAATGGTGGTTTCAATGGATCTTAATGAGAAATTAGTTGATGATCCCAATCGACTCTGGTGAATAAGAGTCACTACCAACATCTTGTGGGGAAATTCATTTACCTCAAGCTTACTCGCCCCGACATTTGCCATGTAGTATGTATTGCGAGTCAATTCATGTATGATCCCTATGACCATCTTAGAGCTATTCATAGGATCCTTCACTCGTTAAAAGACACACCAAACTCATGTTTGTTTTTTTTTCACGTCACACATTTCGTTTTATTGTTGTTTATATAGACACGGATTAGGCTGGGTTTGTCCTTGTTCGGCGATCAATCTCAGGGTATTGCTCTTCATGTGGGGAATTTTTGTCACGTGGAAAACAAAAACCTGTCGGTTGTACCTCGTAGCAGTGCTGAAGCTGAGCTTCGCTCCATGTCCTTGGATATCTGTGAAGCTCTTTGGTTATGCATCATGCTACGTGAATTATGTCTGTTTGTCTGTGCTCCTCATGAGTTGTTTTGTGATAATAAAGTTGTCATTAGCATTTCCCATAATCCAGTCGGGCATGATCGCACAAAGCATGTATAGATTGACTGACAGTTCATTAAGAAAAAACTCGATTCAGGGGAGATCTGTATTTCATTTGTCTCATTCAATGGTCAATTAGCAGATATCCTTACAAAAAATCTTTCTCGGTTGTTATTTGACGTCTTCAAATCCAAGTTGAACATGATAGATATCTAAACTTCAACTTGAGGGGGGCTATTAGAATTATTGGCCTAATTGATGTTGGAGTTATTATTAGCATTTATTTGCTTTCTTTATTTTCTTCCATTCTCATATTTATCTATTTCTGAGTTTATGCCTTTCCTTCTATTCGGGTCTTGTAATTTGTCTTTACATACCTTTTCCTATCGATGAAAGAATAAAGCTCTAGCCTCAAAAGTTTACAATATTATATATATATATATATATAGTGCTAATAATGAGCTAAATTCGATCGAACAAAGGTCTTTATATGTTCGGGTCATTAAAAAATCAAGCTCAAAATATCTATTTATATTCGGCTTGCTTAATGGATGAACTGTACATGGACCTTTTTAATGAGCTGAACAAAAACTATTCACAAACAAGGTATCTAACAACCCTAGGTGCATTTGCGCACCATTTTACAATTGTGTATGCTTTTTTATTTTCTTAACTTCTAACAGTTAAATTGGGCTAACAATAAAGTTGCGAACTTCGGTATTAGATAGATTGGCTTTGCATCGGAATTAGGGCTTTTCAAGGATGTATTTTTTATCACTTTTATATTTTTCTTCCAATTGATTGGCAATATGTCTCATTTCAGCTTCATGTCTCATGCGTAAAGCTGATAAATATTCCGTGTCATCAACCTATAAAATAATGTATGTTATAACCTATCTAGCCTTAGTTGGGAATTGTATTTGAATTACAATATAGTGGCTCATTAATTTAAGGAAGAATTTATTGCAGTTTGAAGCTAAAGAACAACGACTAAGATTTGCAAGCTCAAGTCCATCATGTTCTTATGCAACAAAGGAGGTACAATTGGCATATAAAGCATTATCTTACTGATCTGTAGCTAGAAGTCTGTCTTGTCGGTTGATATGCCTGAATTGTTTTTCTTCAGGACATCATGAGAATTTTTAAAAGGAGAGGGGGGAATGATAGCAAGGACTTACCTCATCATGAATGGTTGAACACTGTTCAATATGAACCAGATGTTATATCAATGTCATTTATTCCAATCACTTCTCTCTTGAATGGAGTTCCTGGCAGTGGTTTCTTGAGCCATGCCATCAATCTATACTTGCGCTGTAAGTATGAAATTGCACTTTCCTTTCGCCGTGGTATTGATATTTTTCAGATTTTCTGTGAATTTTGACATTATCACAAACATTATTTTTTGGCGCGGCTAAAACTTGCAAAAGCTAATGAAAATTTAACATGCTATCATCTAACATCTGAAACCGGAAAGTTCTATTTATTTTTTTTCCGTATTGTTTGGTTTGTTGAAAAAGTAATACAATATAAAATGAATGTAATGCAGAAATAATGTATTGTATTTGAAATACTTTTACAGTTATTTGATTCACTCTACAATAAATATAGGATTTTGTATTTTTTTTGTTTGGTTTGAAGTTAACTGAAAACAATGTATTTCAAATTGTATAAAGGATTATTTGCTGGTGGCGAGCAACATTTGATAGTGGTGAACAATAATTGAGGTTGGTGGCTGGCAGAGTTTGGCGCGGAAAGCTATTGGCGGCGACCTACCGATACCATTTTACATTAATAACATTTTAAATCTCAAATTCGGCCCAATCGGCCGTATTCTAAATTCAACCAAAATGAATTAAGGTGTAAACTTCAAATTCATTCATTTTTATATTATATTTATAATTTTTCGCACTAAATACTTAATTTTTTAAAATCACCACAAAAGAATTACACTACACTAAACTTTCTCTCAACCAAAAACACCTAAGAAGGAGCCCAAGTTCTTGTGCTTGAAGTCTCCGTGTCACAAGAAAATCAAGGCAGTTCACGGAAGAGTGAATGTAGCGGTTGTATAGGCTTTATATTTAAGTGCATATTGAGTTGGCGAGAATAATGAAATTTAGTTTGAAGTAATTTATGAGTATGTGTAAAAGTAATAATTTTTTTAGAAAATGAATATAAGAAATGGAAGAATAATGAAGCGATGACAATGTAAAAGTAATTTAAATTTATAACATATTATATGAAACATTTTCTTCAAATCAGAAAAAAAGTTCTAAAAAAGTGAAATAAATTGAATCCAACTGTTGAAACATAAAGAAAGAAAAATAGTGTCGACTTAGGACAATGTTAGAAAGTTTTATTACCATCGAGTTGACCAGGATGATGATTGTGAAAAATAATCAGCAATAGATTTATCTTAAGTTCTGTTTTAAGAAATTGTACAATTATGATGGAAGCAAATGCTAAAGGTTATTTTATGTGTGAAGGTGAAATGAGATAAAAAAAAAAAGTGTGGATAGTAGCAACAACTGATAGTGTTTGGAGATTTTTTGGATGGAGGCAGTTGCAATTATGAAATGCCTATCGGTGCTTAAAAAGTTTAAAAAATGCTAAAGTAAATTAAAAAAGAATCTTATCTATAGTTTTTAGAGGAATATGAACATAAATTGAAGTGAAATAGAAAGAGAGACCTGCTTCCCCGGGAATACTTGTATGGCGGAATTTAGGGAATTATAAAAGCTTTACACATACATATGTATGTATGTATATATGTCTATATGTATTTGTGTGTGTGTGCTTGTCTCTTTTGTATATATGTATGCCTATATGTATGTAATGTATACCTATACATCTGCTAATTACAGACACACCAAGTGCAATCTGATATGATTCAGGAATTAACAAGGCTCATACTTTTCTTAGAAACTTTTTCTGTTACCTTGAACACTTGTAGCAATAGCTCCACTCAACAATGTGCAATAACTAGTGGTGTAAATGAACCGAACTTAAGCGAGCCCAATATTTGTTTGTGTTCACCTTATTCAAAATTTTTTTGGCGCAAAGTAAGCTCGCGTTCGAAATAAATAGTAAATATCATGTCCGTATTTGGCTTGATTTGAATTTGTTTGTTTGTCTCAACTTTTGTTCGGCTTGAAATAATAATTTTTTGAAATTTAATAAATCAAAATAACATTATTAAACTCCAGAAATTAATTTTTTATTTTAAAACCCATCGAAAGAGAGGAATAATACCCAAGATCTCCTATTTTCGCAGCTGTGACCCACATGCAGCTGAAAGTTTTCAACTCATTATGCTTCATTTTAACATTTAAACCGCATTGATAAAGCTTTTCTTCCCTAGGTGGGATTAAAAGCAGAGCAAACGAGGCAGGGGGAGGCGGGGTGAGGAGGCATTTTCTAATAGAAATTTTCTAGGGGCATTTACATACATGTTACCCCATTCATATGTATTCATGAATCTCCCTGCTGCTGTTTTAGAAATTTACGGTCTGATGATCAGCTAACCTCAAGCGTTCAGACTTTTTCTTCCGCGGCATGGTACTATAGATTTTTTTTAATATGAGGTGCTAGTTAATTTAATTGATAAGTACTTTATAAATTATAATCAAGATCTTGAATCAAATTTTGCTTCTTTAAATGTCTATGAGCTTTGACTTCCACATTTCCGAAAAACGTTGTTTTTTATTTGTTTGAAAAAAAATTTTTGTTTCATTTTCTATATATTTTCTTTTCTATGAAAAAAAAAAGTTTTTTTTTATTTTTTTTAACTAACTATTTAGTCTGTTTATTTACAGTTAATTATAACTGATAATGATCTTATGTTACAAATTTTAAAATATCTTATAATAATATTAGATTTTGTTATGAAATTGATATTCAAATTAAAATGTGTCATAATATTCTTATGTAACATTGTGGTAAATTTTATGAAAGAGGTTATTGTTGTTAAATTAAGAAAACAAAGGTAACTGATACAATCTTTGATTAATTATTCTCTTTAATGTTTTAAATGTACTTTTTCTTTATGGTCAGATGATCATCATTGGGAGTAGACATTTAATTACTTTTCACTATTTGATTGAATAAATCAGTGAGTGATGCTTGATTTTTTTCTTTCGGCTACGTGCGTGTTTGGAATGCTGCTAGGACCAATGTTGTACAAGCCAATTCTTATGTATTTACATATCTAAAACCTTTTTTTTTTTTTTACATTTATACAAACCAAATCTTTGATATGAGACCAAAGATACCACTATTTTAACTTTTAAAATGTGAAGTGCACATTTTCATGGCTAGATAAGGCGACATGTATAAACATTGAAGTTTAGGCGTTATATGTATAAATACAACATAAAATTTAAAAATTAATAAAATTTAATATTTTTTTTAAATACAACATAAAAATTTATGATAGAAAAATATTATTTATTTATTATTTAATTATTCATAAAAATCCTATTTGACTCAATTTGCTTAAAGAACGAATCGAACAAAAGCTACTTAGCGAGTCGGGCACGAGCTGTTTGAGAACGACAAGCTTTTTGACAGCCCTAGCAATAGCATACATATAGGTATATGAAAATTACTTGTGCTTGTATGGACTTTTATTAGTGGCAAGGGATGCATGAAGGTAGACACACTTCATGCACTTATGGTGCATGAGCTAGAAATTCACAGAACCAAATCAAATGCATAAGCATCATACCAAATTAGAATTTGCAATATAATAACTTATTTTCATGTACAATGAATAATGGGAATATGATCTTAATGAAATTTGTTAATAATGCCGCTCCAGTTTATGAGACGTGGTTAATAAGACGTGGGATCCATATGCTAGAGCTTTTTCTTGTCAAATTTCAAGAAGTCCTCAAAGTGCTTTGAAAAAGCCTTTCTAAGCCTTCTAGTAGATTATTTTCTTCCAAAACTCCAGCAATTGGTTCATCATTGCAATGGTGATTAGTGGGATTCTTTGCGCACCATTGCCATAACAATATGAACAAAACCAAGTAGTTTTAACCAGCACATTTCTGCAATAAACCTTTGTCATTGTTCTAGTGTGGAAAAGTTGTTGAAAAATAAATTCCAAGTTATTTAATCAGAGGGGAGGGGGGGGGGGGGGGGCAAATACAGCCACTCTCCAAAATATCTTATGCATCAAGTTAGGCATTTTTTATGGGATCCCTTGGGTCTCCTCTCTTCTAGTTGTTTGTTGGTTCATTCATAATTTGTTGGCCTTCTTGGCGTTTTATTAGGCTTCTTCTTCTTATCTATCAATTTTTGCATTTACTTCTGTTGTACTCTTTCCAATAAATAATAATTATACTTATGTTGAGTTAAAAAAAAAGAAAAACTGTTAAGAAAATATTCAGATTTTGAGTGCTTTGTATTGTACTGATTATACAGTATGTATGATTGCGTGTCATCCATGTCTATGTTCGATCTATTGCATTCTTAAATTGATAATGATATAAAAAATCAGCACAGGTTGTATGCATGGTGCATGAAGATGCACTAAAAAGATGCTATTAACATTCAGATTATTTTAAATATTCTAATTACAGTGAACATATGCATGTTATATTTTTCTATCAAATGGAAATACTTGGGGTAATATCAGAAAAAAAACTGTTAGGGGTGATGAGCAGCTGATGTAAGAAAAATTTTACTAGTTCTGTCTTGATGATAGTTGTTGTAGCTGGATTTTTTTTTTTTTACATTACTCATTTACATTATTTTTTATGATTTTTAAATTCTGTCATTTCTTACAGATAAACCACCAATAGAAGAACTTCATCAGTTTCTGGAGTTTCAATTGCCAAGACAGTGGGCACCTGTATTCAGTGATCTTCCCCTGGGTCCTCAACGGAAGCAACCAAGTAGTGCATCATTGCAGTTTAAATTCATGGGTCCGAAGCTTTATGTCAATACTAGTGTGGTAATTATTTATTTTTGTTTGTTTATTTAATCTTTGATGGTTTGGTCACATTAAAAGTCGACCATCTGATGATCAGATTAGGAGAGTTGATGTTTTAGATTCAACTTATGTTAAGAAAAGCAGAGGTAGACCTAGGAAGACTTGGACTTATTATATAAAAAATGATCTCAATTTATTAGAACTAAATGAAAATATGACACTAAATAAGATGCAATGGAGAAAAAGGATTCATGTAACTGACTCCACGTAATGGGATTAAGACTTTGTTGGTGTTGTTGTATTTCATCTTCGCAGAATCACTCTACAACAATAAATTTATCAGCCTGCAGCATAGTAGCTCTATCCTGCTTTTCCGGTTAAGTTTGTGAAAAGTTAGGGTAATGCTACAACTCCCTGACAAGATTCTCAATGAAATCGATTGAACCATTTATCGTCTAATGAAGTATATTGGAACAATACTTAAATATACGGACCAATCAGCAGTTCGAATCATTTGTAAGTTATGTACTATATTGGAACATTACTTATTCTCCCTTGAATTAATTTGGGATTGTTAGAAATCAGTTACCTTAAGACTCGAATCACCAATTTTAATAAAAAATAAGGAAAATCTACCTACTTAGCACACAATTCCAATGTATTTACATATCTCACATCTAAACTTTCATATTTACATACTTTGCAGTTCCAACTTTTTGGTGTCAACAAAAAGCCGAAAATTTTATATCATCAAAATCATACATATTTATAATTCTAACACCCAGCCTATAAATTTGAACTTTCAAATCAATGCATTTGGCCAAACCATTGAGGATTTAACAAAAGTGAAAAATAGATGCTGGAGTCTTGCATGAATATTGAGATTTGGGTCATAATTTAATGACCGGAGATTTGGAGCTTATTAACTTTAGATTAGCTAATCCTTAAGTATATATATGAAATTGCTTTGCTTATTCATTTATGATATCTAGTACGCATTTCCCTTAAACAGGTTGATGTTGGAAAGCGGCCAATCACAGGCCTCCGACTCTTCCTTGAAGGAAAAAGATGCAACAGATTAGCCATTCACCTCCAGCACCTCTCCTCTCTTCCCCGTATCTTCCATCTCCAAGACAACCCTAGCAGCACCTACTCTCATGAAACAAACGAACGGAAATTCTACGAACCTCTTCAACAGCGCCATTTTTCCCATGTCTGTACCGCGCCTATCGAAGCAGACGACGATAACTCAATCGTCACAGGAGCTCAATTACACGTTGGCAACTATGGCCTCAAAAAGGTACTCTTTCTTCGCCTTCAATTTTCGTCGGTATCAAATGTTTCCCTTCTCAGAACTCCGGAATGGGAAGGATCGCCCGGTTTGACTCACAAGTCTGGACTTATATCCACCCTGATAAGCACCCACTTCACAACCGCATTTCAGAAGCCGTCCCCTCGTCCCGCCGAAGTAAACATAAACTCTGCGGTTTACCCCGGCGGACCTCCAGTTCCGGTTCAGGCTCCGAAATTGCTTAGATATATTGACACGACGGAGATGGTGAGAGGACCCCAAGATTCGCCAGGTTATTGGGTGGTTTCGGGAGCTAAGTTGAATGTGGAGAGAGGTAAAATCTCTCTGCGTGTTAAGTACTCACTCTTGACAGCATTGTTGCCGGATGATGATGAAGTATTGTAGGTATAGTAATGAAAATGAGGATTGATTATTGCAATTTATTTGGGTAAAAGGATGGAATGGAGGAAAGTGATGGATTGAATGGAAGGTTGGATGTATATATTATATTTTTTGCTTTTGATTTGTAACTTTAATAGATGTTACAGTGCTAGTGATGTCATAGTTATCTTTTCTTAATGTTTTGGAAATATTCATCTGTTTTTGGAGTGCCTGATGGGTTTTTTGTTTAGCTGTATGCCTGTGCTGATTTTGGGTGAGTATAGCTAAATGGTCTTTAAGTTGAGTAGACTGGCAAGTTTGAGGAGTTGACTATTTTATTGTTTTGACTTTAGGATCTGTCTTGTTACCTACATTAGTGGTGTAAGGTGAATCAATTGCATTGCATTTCAAAATTTTATATTTTAGTTAATTTAAAACGGAATGCAATGTAAAATTTTGGCGGATTTATAATTTCTTGCAATTTAAAATTGGTGCATTTCAAATTTGCTAACCTGGAGCGTTTTTAAATACATTGCAAATTATAGCCTGTTGCAGCCATCGTCGCTCGCCATCGGTTGTCGTCCGTTATCTTTTGCTGCCAGTTGTTGTAGTTCGTCCCCATTGTAGCAGAAGCTAGCTGCATGGTGCCACACTTAGCTAACAATTTTCGCTCGCCGGCACTATTGTTGTCAGTTGGCAGCCCACAGTCATCGCTACCAGCTGGAGGCGACACAGACATGCCCATTGCCACCACCCATCACCGTTCACCCGTTGTAGCTATTGTCGGTATTGTCGAGCAAGTTTTATGTTAATTTTGTTTTTCTTTAGACTAATAATAAGAATATAGATTGTTGCATTTATTATACATCAAATCTAACAACTTAAAGTATTTGAAATACATTATATTTTATTTCTATTGTATTTCTTTTTCAGTAATATAAACAACCTCATAATCAATGTATTTGAAGAAGGTTTGACCTAGTTTTGATTGATTTTTCAAGATTTTTGAATGTACATACATACTATTAGGCCATAATGAGGGATATACCTTAAAAAAAAACTATTGAATAACAAGGATGTAAAATTTCAATTGGCACTCTCAAAATTTTTAAAGTTTGGAAATTTACATAAATGATCATGCAAAGTATTGTGTAGGCAAAATAAATGTAAATGTTGACATTTCTTTTGTTGGTGTAATTATGGTTTTTTTAACTGTTATGATTAAGATTTCTCTTAAGGATTAGTATTTATGATTAATTATATTATTAATGTGATGTAGAGTCTTTTTTTTTTAATTTTGAATGCATTAATTATAAGCCTATATGTGCACCCTTATAGGCAAGGATTTGATCCCATGATTTTTTGTGGTGAGAGTCAAAAGCTCACAACTTGTACACTAATGTTGTGTAAGGGACACTTTTGATTAAGAATAACAAATTATCATTTGGTAGGCACAAGTTGGTTAGCATTTTGCAAGGAGAAGATAGTATAAAATCTTATTACTCTAGTGTTGGTTAACTTGATGGATCTTTTTTTGTTAATGATGCTTTTTAGATGTATTTTTGGAGTTTTATTATAATGATTTGGCTTCTCAAATATTCTAAGTAAAAATATGTGGTGGAGGTATGCATACAATAAAATTGTTTAAATGTTCATTTTAAACTTAAAAAGCCTTGATTAGTGCTGTTAAATGTATTTTTGTAGAAGTGGGGCGTATTAGGTTGAATTGATCCATTTCAAAATTGGCTCAAAGCAACGATGTGGTTAACTTTGTCTGCTAAAATAAATTTGAGGTCATGAACTGAAAGCATCTTAAAGAACCTAGCGATGGATGTGAAAGTAAATATAATGCATCCCAAACTTATTATAAGCTCAATGTGCTATTATGGGAGAGTGCATCTCAACAGATGGCATAAGTCATTTATGACTTATTCACAACTAAAAGTTAAAATGAAATTAAATGAAAAAAAAAGACTACAAAGCACAATGACAAAATTATGGCCACCCTTTATTATTTTTTAGTCAAGTGGAGGGAGCTTGTGTTTATGGAATGAATAATAATAAACTTGTACAAGAAAATAAAATTTTTACTTCCTACATTATATTGGAAAAGTGGGTTTTAATTTTAGAATTTAGATTTTATTATAATATTTTTTAGATCTAAAATTTATTTGCTGAATATTGCTCTAAAACACTCTCAAAATACATATAAGTAGCCCTTAACATAAGTTTAAAAAAATCCTAAATTTTAGTTAAATTAATTAGTTATTGCCCTTGTAATCATTAATTGTTGGGTTTATTTGGGACTATTAAAACCTTTGATTTACACATAATAGAATCAATTGATGTGCATATCAAGCTATTCTAGGTTAAGGAATGTATATAATGATATTTCATAAATATGATAGAGTATTTATGGAATTATAACTTTGTAATCTTAAATAGGAAGTGCCAAAAATGTATGACGTTGTCTGTAATGAACTTAGCTAGAAATGGATAGTTAGAAACTGATCACAATGCCTCATTGGGCATGAGATTATTGAGGGTAATCTGGGAGTGGTCCCCCCCCCCCCCCCCCTTACTAGAGAGGTCATACATGAGGCTGCTCTTGTCGCGATGGCTCTCGTCGGGGCATCCCCTTCTACCAAGAAGCAGGCGGTTGGTGGTAATGCATAGTAGCATGTGTCTGTTTCTCCCGACAGCCAGGTAGTCTTATTTTCTCGAGGATTTCTTATCCCTCATAAGTGGACTTACCTAACAGTTCCAGGGATACTACTGTGGTTCTAGCTGCTGTCCCAGCTTCTGTTGCCACAGGTTTGTTGAGGCTTCCCTTGTTTCCAAGATGATCAAAAGGGCTCAAAGAACTCATAACAAGCTGTCATGGTCCCAATAACAGGATTCAATCCATGTCCCTACACCTATTGTGATTCCAGTTAAGGGAAAATCTTAGATTCCCCTAGTTGAGAATATGTTATGTTCTTTCTTGTTACGAGGACCATGTTTTTGACATGATTACCAGGAAGCACGCCCTCCTCGAGACACAGGCCATCTTAAGTCTGTTATCAAAATTAACTGCACCGCCACGAGCCTTCTGACGAGGAAGACTGTGATAGTAGTTTCCTCCCTGAGAGGAAAGTGTCCCATTTCTAGGAAAAAGTTCCTTGTGCGAATTTTTGAAATATCCGAGCAAGTTATGAAGGAGCTCCTCCACTTCCCTCACCCTCGAGGTCCACATAGTACGAGACATAGGTTTGACCGCAGTTCGCTGCAAGGCCAGAGTACTTACCATCCAACATACAAGTTGTTGAGCCCGACCAAGAATTACAAGGGGTTCCAAACATAGCGCTTGAGGATGATGTACCAAATTTTGCTTCCATTTCTAGTACTAGTTCTTTGCAGCAGCTTTGTCTGCACCACTTGTTGGAACCTCTTCTGATAAGTTAAATAAAAAAGAAAAATATGTTGGCTTATTACTCTTCTTTCTAAAGTAGAAATAAGATAGATGTTTCTTTTGCTCAGAAGGAGAGACCCAGGGCATACCCCCATTGATACCCTCTTACTTATTAAAAAATAATGTATATAAGAAAGGACTATCGCCCAATCTTGCCCAAGAGGCAGTGGGTCTGTATTACTCTTGCCATTGTACCTCTTGTAGCTCCAGCTCTGACTTCAAAGGTTGTAGATTTGATCATGGAGGAAGTCATCCTTTCTGTTGATCACATCTTGGAGCCATATGGGGCTAATCCCGAGGATGAGCCCGAGTTCGATCTTGTGGATGACTTGTGTGAGGATCCTTCTGATATACCGGAGGATCTCCTCAAAGAGGATGAACTCCTTCGTGGGGAATTACATGACTTTGAGATAGAAACTCGCCATGCCATGAAGGTGACCACTCTTGGTCAGAGATCTATTGTTTACAACCCTGTTCTTAATCTCAACGAGGTCTAACATCAAGATTTCGTAGAGGTTCAAGATGTCTGATTGATCAAGGGGACCAAACAAAGGATCAACTTATCACTCTCATTCAGAGCCAAATATCCCTTCTTACTATCCATGTGGCCTCTCTTCTGGTTGATTAGGATGGGTCCGACGCAGGCAGAGATACGTTCAATAGTACTCGTCGTATCACCTGTGCTGACAAGGCACAACCACAAGTCATCCTCAGACCCTACTCAGCCAGAGCAAACTATCTCTAATTCGCGCCTATAATCATGAGTGGACGCAAAGTTTAAGGCTGCTTTGGTAGCTCAACAGAACAAATCCATCATGAAGAAAGATAAACCTTACCTCAAGTCGTATGAGTACATTTTGTGCCTTCCAAGGTTTGTCTCCCCTCATTTCAAGAGGTATGATGAAATCAGTAATCCTCAATAACATAAAACACAGTTTAGAGCACATTGTTGCAACATCGGCAACAATGACACATTATTGCTCTGCTTGCTCTTAACTAGCTTATCTGATTAAGTCTTGGAGTGTTACGTCGATCTGTCAAACGGTACTCTCTAAACATTTGCTATGTTGGAGAACACATTCGTTAAGCGTTTCACCGACGAACACCACCAGGTCACCATGAGTGATTTGATGTAGCCCAGCAGAATTTGAATATAAAGTGTGAGCCTCTTCTTCAAGAAGAGCATGTAGTCATGTTTTTCGTTAGATGAATACTCTTTTTTTATCTCTTTTCAAATGGACCATCAGATTGTCTTGAGATTCGTGTAGACCATTTTTGGGTGTACATATTAAGTTACCCAATTTTCTTGCTTCTTCATAGCGACAAATGTGATAAGGACAAAAAAATTTTAATGTAATAAATCAAATCTTAATAGTTATAATATAATACAATAAATAAACTCCCTAGAATTTCGTGCTTGTTACACTTATATATAGAGCATAAGGGGCAATTCTATCATCTCGAGTTTGTTATTCCTTGCATTTGTTCAATTTTTGTGGGAAACATCCGAGGGATGTCGAATGTCCCCCAGAAACTTAACCAACTATTTGGAAGAAGTGGAGGTTGCCCTGGCCCAGTGGGATGAAAATCCTTGTGTGATGCTGGAGGAAATGCAGAGGGAGGCAGTCAATCATTATCAAGAGGTTACAAAACTCCGAAAAAATGTGTTTGTTTTGAGGGTCCATTCTAAAGCTAAATGAGTAACTGGTTTAAGCTCAGTGGTCAGATGTTGTATAAAAGATTTGTTAAGAGAGATTTGG